TGTCATCCGACTTACATGACGTTAGGTGCGTTTGAAAGAGGATTTTAATGTTGCAAATTTTCAATAGATGGCGCTGTATGTTGTGTTGTATGATTTAAATATAAAGTTCGGTAATTTTTAGGACACAGCGTGTACATACGTAACTTACATACATACCAGGAGATTAACAAAGTTCGTCCAGTTGGTGACTTTCACTTTGTTTTTTAGATCCAAAAAGATCAAATCCTTTGCAATTAATTTATTAGTCTTCTTTTCAAATTTTAGAATGACCCGCTTAAATGGAGACGAGAAAACGCAAACAGAAATCGCCATATGATTCTCTTCGGGTTCCGGCGTAATTTGCAGCCAATACAATTGTATTGTGAATGCCAAATTGCATATGGAAACGATTGCACCGCCTTTAAAGACTATTTCTAGGTAGTTCCGAAGATTCCAGACAGGACATCTTTCCGTAGAGCACAAGTCCCGATGACGACACTGTAGCTCTGGTAAAGTTCAAAATTGACTATTGACACAAGAATTGATTGTTATGGATTAGACCTGAATGGCATGGCTGTATTGCGAATCTTAACTAATCATTTGGGTTATTGGAAGAAATCTGCTCGAGACTCGAGTGCATTTTGCTCAATTCTTCCTAAACAAATATCTCCCTTCCGCTTTTTTGTCTTTTGAATTTTGCGGCAATGTACAAAGCGCTACAGAGTTCAACAGTTATAGAAGTGTAAACATGGAGTTCACTAACGCCGAAATTCGCGCTGTTTTAAAGTTTTCCTTCGTTAAAGACAAATCCGCTAGAGAAACGTTCCGTGAGATTAATGGTGTTTTGGGGGATGGTACTCTATCACTTCGAACAGCGGAGGAATGGTTTCGACGATTCAGAGCCGGTAAAAACGACACCATGGATAAGTCAGCCGGCGGAAGACCTGTGGCGACAAATACCGATCAAATCATGGAATACATCGAGTTAGACCGGCATATGGCATCTCGTGACATCGCCCAGGAGATGGGAGTTAGTCACCAAACCATTTTGAACCATCTGCAGAAGGCTGGATACAAAAAAAAGTTTGATGTTTGGGTGCCGCATAATTTGACGCAAAAAAACCTTCTGGACCGAATCAACGCCTGCGATATGCTGCTGAAACGGAACGAACTCGACCCATTCTTGAAGCGGATGGTGACTGGCGACGAAAAATGGATCACATACGACAATATCAAGCGAAAACGGTCGTGGTCGAAGGCCGGTGAATCGTCCCAAACAGTGGCCAAGCCGGGATTGACGGCCAGGAAGGTTTTGCTGTGTGTTTGGTGGGATTGGAAGGGAATCATCCACTATGAGCTGCTCCCATATGGCCAGACGCTTAATTCTACCATCTACTGCGAACAACTGGACCGCTTGAAGCAGGCGATCGACCAGAAGCGTCCAGAATTGGCCAACAGGAAGGGTGTAGTGTTCCACCAGGACAACGCCAGACCACACACTTCGTTGATGACTCGTCAGAAGCTACGGGAGCTCGGATGGGAGGTTTTATCGCATCCACCATATAGCCCGGACGTAGCGCCAAGTGATTACCACCTGTTCCTGTCCATGGCGAATGCCCTTGGTGGTGTGAAGTTGAACTCAAAAGAGGCTTGTGAAAAGTGGCTGTCCGAATTCTTCGCAAATAAGGAGGGGGGCTTCTACGAGGAAGGTATTATGAAGTTGCCGTCTAGATGGAAACAGATCATCGAACAAAACGGCGCATATTTTAACTAAATCCGATCACTGTAACACTTTTTATAAAGCATTGAATGAAGAGCAAAAAAGCGGAAGGGAGATATTTTACAACCTAATATTTGTCCTATATTACGAATAAATAAGAAACGAATTTATTTCTTACCAACTTACCGATGCTTTGTTAATCGCCTCGTACATATGTATGTATATACGTATATTTTCTGGACCTATGAAAATAATTATAATTTTTGTTTTCCTCAAAGGCATGATTATACAGTTGTTTTTGTAAACATCTGTATAATGCGAGTTTCTCTAAAATATAAAACGAGCTCTGGCTAAGACCAAATCACATATATGTATATGTAGGTATGCATAAATAAATATTTGTTACTACAATAGTAATTGAAAAAAATTTACTCTCACCATTAGCACATTGAGAGAATGGTATCCATGATGGTTGGCACAGAGCTCTTCATGATTTCTGGGATTCATGATGGATACGTGAGTGCAATCCATAGCCCCGCCCCTGCAATGGCTTCTAACAATGTAGACGATGATGAGACAAAAGCGCTCTATTCGCGTAATGGGAAATCTTATCTTCGCCGGAAACATCGAACGATTGATTGCGTCTGCTACGCCTTAAATACCACTGCTTACTGACTCATGGATATTCCCCATTGCTCCCCGACAGGACGTTGTTAGCATGCAGTTGCAAAGAATCGCAAGGCGGTTAAAACCTTTAAACATTTTAATAATGTTAAAACTAAATGAGTACTTAAACGTTATATTATTACCTGCTTCTCCGTAGATAATGATTTTACTCTTCTACAGAAAGGATTTCTTCAACTAAATCTGGCGTTAATCAAACCGAAACTCAGTTGCATTCAAATGAAAAGGATCGTCCACTTCCCGAAACAAACTTCTATATAATGATTAAGGGTACGATACCTCCTCATCTGGGTATGAAACGTATGCCAAATGCTCGAAAGCCATTATTGATTACTAAATTTGTTATTTTTGTTTTTATATTGCTTATGAAACTCTCCGATTTACTTTACTTTAACCTCAATGAAATATCCATTTTTTTTCGTTGGGACTAACAACTTCAGAATATTCGTCGCTTAGTTGGTGATTTGCCGAACAGATTACGACAACAGCTGATTAAGCGATAACGAATAACGTTAAAATACTAACTACGCCGAATATTGAAATCGTTAGAATTATAGCAAAGTCATTTTTGGGATCCACAAATCGTCATAATTCGATAGATAAATCCCCTACAGGCCTTTTGGAACTTTCATTATATAATATATCGTTTTTAGCGACCCATTGTGTACCTACAACAAAAAAGTCTGTAATTGAATGCAAATTGAATAAAAATGAACTTACCGCGGTTACCGGATTATATTCGAGTCAAAAATAGCGCAACAGTCGTTTTTTTTTTCTTTTTTACAAAGTAAAGCTAAATCTCTTCCCCACTCAACCTTTGAACGGAGTGGAACTTTTCCTCATCTCATCTGCTTCCACCAGTAGATAAATAGTTAGGCTAGGTAGTAATACTAAAGCTGGACCGGTATTCACTGTGAACAATACTCAAAATACCATAAAGCATCCATAAAACTTCTCTATTACGACGCTGAAAACCGATCCGATCATCCGATTAATGTTGTCTTCGTCCACACTGCTGCACCATGAAGTAGGGAATGGAGAGTGATAGTCTCTGTTTATCGGGAGAATACTTAGCTTTTCAATTGCCTACTCAGTCCAAAGTAGAAACGATGGATTTTTAGACTAACATTGCTGATTTCTAAAAAACGAAAGTGTCTACAATTTCGATACTGCTTTCGTAGCGACCAGCTTTCAAGTAAATTTAATAATAAATACGATTCTTTCGAATGAACTCGTTCCTGGTAGCATAGGGTGAAATGAACCAATTAAAAAAAAAAAATGTATCAGGTTGTCTCGGAGATCTTAGAAAGCTCCAGATTAGGTTATAAAAGAACGATTATTAATTTATGTTAATTTTTCGCTGCCATGTTTAATTAGCTTGACCGGTAAGCAATCCGGTACCGCTGTTTTTAAAATTCTTTAAGCGCGCAATTATTATTCAATGAGGTAATCTCCTCTACGGAGTTGGTCTCTCGACAGCTGCTGCTTGATTGATATTCAGTTTGGTTTGTTATTTCATATTGCACAAACTTACTTCGGTACAATGATGAATCGTCGTGCGCTGCCTAATAGACGCCGTTCAGTAAGCACCCAAGTCACTATCGCTGCCATGGAGCAAAGTATCGAAGAAGACTCGTAAGAGTCCATTCGCCACACTGCTGTACCCAACCACTTAAGGTACCATTTTGCAGAAAGATCTTGGTTAGCAGACTTACAAACTCCTACTCGTACAAAAATCGAACGGCTGAACGGCCATCGTTGACACGTAGACCATTCGATGAATGGCTTCAAAAAGAAAATTTCCAGCGAGATGCGCACTTTTAGTTGATTGGCTACGTTAATAAACAAAAATGTCGCATTTAGAGTGCACATAATATACAAACCAGTGTTGAACTACCCTCTCATCCTCAAGAAGTCACTATGTGTTAAGCGCTACAGGCGGTCGGGAATCATTGATCCATATTTCTTCAAAAATGAAGGCGGTCATAATGTTGCAGTCAAAATGGTGTGCTTAAATGATTGCTGACTCTTTCGAGCCTGAATTAGAGGTTGTCGATGTAGACGAACTTTAGTGCCAAGAAGACGATGCTACATGCCATACAGCGCACGAAGCAATCAAGCTCTTATAAGAAACTTTTGGTGAGCGCATTATACCGCATCGTGGACCTTAAAAAATCTGCGGTTTAACACCGCTGGACTGTTTGTTGTCGGATTATATTGTATGAAGTGGCTTGTTTACGTAGATAGCCCGGGGGTGATTGACTTCTGGGAAGAGAATATTCGGCATGTTATTGCTAACATTTGGCAACAATTGCTGGAAAAGATGTAAGAAAACTGGGCCTCTCAGAGCTTATTTGCCTGAATTCATTTTTAAAATTTAACGGTTAACGGTTGACTTTATAATAAAACTAAATTTATGCCCATAACATAATATTATAAGGATTTTATGTCTTCTCGAAAACCCCATGTCTAAGAAACACCTTTTACAACGTCAAACAAATTTTTAGATTCCATTTCAACTCAACCTTAACATCGATGCCGTCAAGCAGCTTGTTTCGTTCCCGAGCTCAATCTCTCGCTCGTCTAAATCGATTGATAAATATTGACAATTTGTTTATAAATGCAAAAACATTTCAACGCACTCTCAGTTCAAGTTCAATATTCGCGAAATCAACTAATCGTACGCTAAGAAATAATTTTCAAATCGTGTTTACATAGTAAATGGTACATACATATAGCATACTTTACATATTTATATATCTGTAACAAGATGATATTATTAATAAGAACCGCTTAATGTTGTGTTCAACAACAACAAGTGTCAATTTTTAATTTGTGTTGAATACTTTTCAGTAGAAAGACAGTTAATATGCTTTTAATGGATTTTCCAAGGAAATATAAAAAAAAAATTCTATTTAAAAATAATTCTATGAAGTTGTTATTGCACGAGCACAGCATTCTTATCTCAATCATAATATAATATATTATATTTAATGAAAATTTATTCATACACATAATTACATACAAGCATATCACAGTCAACTGGATGTCATAGACTTCGGGAGCTCGTAGAAGTGAGCTTACAAAACTCGTATATCCTAAGCTTAAATCGATGTCTATTGTTATCACTTTTTCCTCAACTTGGTTACCAACCCTTTGGCCTTTGGTTGGCTGGTTGGTTGAAACTCATCCCGCACTTAAGACATTTACTAGACTGTCTATTTTAATCCAACCATAAGTGCCGAATTCGTAAAGCTGGCTCACCGTTGAGGGTATAAATCGGCTGAAAGCCGAACACACGCGTAGGTTATGCTTCAAGGTTTCGTCGACAATCGTTTTGTTTTTTGAAGACAATATCACAGTGGTAGTTGCCAGTACTAAAGTTTGGATTTTTTTTTAGACATATCGTTTTCAAAAAGAAATAAAACACATATAATTCTGCTTGATTATCAAGTTCATTATGTTTTTGAAAATGATTTCGAGCAAGTGATCGACCAGTTGGCTCGGGAGGCTAAATTTTCGACCACTTCTTGCAGCAATAACTCACCAAACATTCTCCAACGAGACGTCAATCTTCCCAAATTTATCTACGTAGACGAGCTATAACACATAACCCCACAAACTATAGACCAGCGGTGTTAAATCGCAAGATCTTGGAGGCCACGACACGGGTTGATGTGCTCACCAAAAGTGTCTTGCAATCAATTAATGGTTTTCGTTGGCTGTACCGCCTTCTGATTGAAACCAAATGTCTTCAATATCAATATCTTCCATTCAATAATCATGACTCTATAGCGTTCCTTAGAGACTTTACACTTTTGGCTGGTCTCATTTTCGACCATTTTCGAACAAATATGGAGCAATGACTCCCACTGCCCATTAAGCATACCGAATAGTTCCTTTTTGAGGATCTAACGACGTTGCAACCATGATTTGTCTATTATCTTCACTTTAAATGCCACAATTTCGTTCCTTCCATTCAAAGGAAACTGCTCTTTATCGCTAAAAAAAAATTTTCTTGTGAAAATCTTACCGTGAGTGCGACGCTTTAGGTCGTTCGGCTTTAATACTTGCATGAGTTGGATTTTATAAGCCCGCAAAACAAGATTTTTCTATGTAGTGGATGGACACACTACAGCACTATGGAGGATGAACTCATTCAGGACTTCTCGAGACTCTCCTCTACAGCAGCAATAGCATCTTCAAGGCGCACTGTATGGCGTCTCTACTCATGGTTCGCTCGAATTTCCCACTCTACTGCGCGATTATATTGACCGAGTACTGGACGCATGTCGCGCGAACCGAACCTTGCCGATTTGCTAACGCTGCTTCGGAGAAAGTCTATTCATTATGAAATGGCAACCCAAATTGAGTGCAAATCAAGTAACAGCTACAAAAAGACTACCCTCAATTTTTCTGAAGTTTCGACTGTTTTAGCCATGACTTGTAGGCGCAGTAAGCTCTGCGGAAGTCCAGGGTGACCTTCTACATCTGTGTTAACCGGGATCCAAGTAATTTTCTCTATGTTTTCTTGTATTATTTTTTCTTCTGTTTCCGTTCTTCTTTTATATTTATGTTCTCGAACATTTGGACTTTGGGGCGACACAATTCATTTTTTCATTGTACCTCAGTGTTTCCCACAATCTCTGCGTGGAAAATAAATTTAAAAGGGTTCAAGGTTACTTCTGCTTGCCTGGTTAAGGCGATTTTCGACCGAGCTCCGCCTCTAATTTGTGTTGTTTACTTTGATGTTTTTCTTATCAAATGGAGTGGCTTGCAGTTCATTTTTTTACGCCATAAATGCACTTGGAGGTCTTGAATTTCTCTGACGAGAGCGATCGTAGCTGCTGAACTCAAACTTTGGCTTGCCGAACTATGGTTTGCATTGCTCTCTAGTAGACAAGAGTTATTGTTGTTGATGTGGTAACCAACAAAATATTCTCCAAAAAGTTTTTGGAGAAATTATCCAGGTCGTTCCGGCATAAGGAGTCGACTGTCGCTGGAACTATTTGATTTTAGTCACCTCCTCCAACATTCTTGCCTTACCGCTGGTATGTACTTGACCCCCAAGTCCAGTAATGAGATGATATTTGTATTAGCAGCCCAGCCAGCAGGAATAAAACAGTACTTCTCGCAAGTTGAGGGCGTTCAGTATCTTAACCATCACAACCCAAAAATAATACACGATTCAAGGTTCAAGGCTTTATTGTCGACATTTTGCATTTATTTCCGGAGAGAACCCCTTACTGACTTCGGTCAATTTTTTTCTTAAGTTCAAAAATAAAAAACATTTTACATTACAGCCTGCCCATTTGCAATGTCCGCTCAACTGACGATTTATGTGCTATGCCTACTAACGGTTTTATCACAAGCTAGCGCACAAGGAACACCGAACTTTGAAAAACTATTGGATATCATATTTGCTGGGAATACCACGGTTAACGTAAAACCGAATACGCCGCCAATTTCGCCAATAGGTACGAGTCCGCCAATAGGTAAGACTTGTGGATTCGGCAAAGAATGTGTGCCGCGCAAGTTATGCAACGAAGACGGCACTGTCAATAGGTTTGGCACGTTTATGCTGAATCTGCGAATCGATGGTCCTTGTGCCTATTTGGAAACTTGCTGTGATGTTAGCGAAAAGGTAAGCGGTTATTTCACTAACTCTACATATGTTTGTATGTACTTATGTAAAATAAAATGTCTTGCAGTTACCGGAGCCGAAACCCGTAAACGTAACGTCAAGTGGCTGTGGCTATCGGAATTTCAATGGTGTGTCATTCAAAATATCTGGCGCACAAAACAGTGAAGCTGAATTTGCAGAATTCCCTTGGATGGTAGCCATTTACACCGTTGATGGTGTAAAAACGATCTACAAATGTGGCGGCTCGATAATTGCACCGAATGTGGTTCTGACGGCTGCACATTGTGTATGGGACGCACAGCCGGGTCTGCTGGTGGCACGTGCTGGCGAATGGGATTTGGAAACAACACAAGAACCGTTGCTGCATCAAGACGCACATGTGTCAGAAATTATACGCCATGAAAAATTCAATAGCAACACCATCTTTAATGACATCGCAATTTTGATATTGACCACGCCATACACTTGGTCGCCGAACGTACAGCCGATATGTTTGCCTGATGAGGGTGTGTCCTTTGACGGTTATCGTTGTTATGCCGCCGGTTGGGGTAAGGATAAGTTTGGTAAAGAAGGTGCTTATCAACATATTTTAAAGAAGATCGACTTACCTGTGGTGCCGCATGCCAAGTGCCAGGAGAATTTACGTGCAACACGTCTAAGTCGTTACTTTCAATTGGATAAGAGCTTCATGTGCGCGGGTGGTGAGGCCGACAAAGATACCTGTAAAGGTGATGGTGGCTCACCGCTCATGTGTCCCGATCTGAATAATCCTGGACGTTACCTGCAAGCTGGTGTTGTATCTTGGGGTATTGAGTGTGGTGTGGAGAATATACCTGGTGTCTACGCCGACGTGCCATCCTTACGCAAATGGATTGACGAGAAACTGACTGCGAAGGGTATCGATACAAAATATTATACTACTTGAAATTAAGCAAAATCTAAATTAATTAAAAAAAAAATAATTTATAATTACATAATCGTTAGCTCAGTTTGTCGATGGTTGGATGGTTGGTTTATTGAAAGAGATGTTTGTGGACCTCAGCGCAGGGGGCTGCGCCACTTAAGCCTTTAAGTAGACTCACTGCACTCTCTGTGTATCTCAACTATCTGTAGCGAACAGTTCGTTTACTTTCATAAACGGCGTTATTTTCTTCCATCCACGCTTGCTCATATCCGCATGGCTACGGTTTGGAGTATCTTGAAATGTATATGGCAACTCGCAAAAGTAATGGTAACGCTATATCGGAGTCAAGTCTGGATATGTAGGAATTAAGTCCGCGGTGGTGATAGCCGAATGGTTAGCGTACAGCCGTACGGAAGGCCAGGCTCGAGTTTCGCTCCGCCCAACAGCAAAAATTATAGAATATTAATTTAATTAAAAAAATCCCTTGCAGGGAATTTCAATGCCTTCCGAGTGTATTTCTGATATGAAATAAAGGCTCCTCGTAAAAAAACATCAGCCGTTCGTAGGTCCTCCATTTGTTGGAAAAACATCAAGACGCAAAACCACAAATTGGAGGAGGAGCTCGGCCGAAAATCGCTTGAGCGGTTGCAAGGCGCCTATTATATATATAAGACGACTAGAGGCAGCAAGAGCTCTTCGTCTGCAATTAGATTCCGATGAACAGAGTTCGGGAAGGTGTTGACGAACTCTCGGTGATTGGCGTTTAAAGTCTGTCGGTACGCTGTTCACTCTAGCGGTTCAAGGGTACTATGTTCCCCTTCGTTTAGTGCTTGAGGCATTAAGTAGGCTCATTGTTGGTGTTGTAGCAGCGATTGCGGTACCAATGCTGTCCTTTTTATTTACCGTTAAGTCCCACCTTCCATGTTCAAACACTTTAAAACTTTGTATAGAAAATTTTATTGTAAGTTTTAAATACAACTTAAATCATTGACAGTCTCATGTGTGGCTCACAGCTCCGCTTGACTAACTGACAAACACTACACTGGTCCGATAGTTTAAGGAATTGCTCTTACCGAGCTTTTTCCTAGATTCCGCCACTCTTCGCTGACTTCAATAAGTTTGGTTCACAGTAGTCTCCCAATACATAGCATTCTGCTCTCTGTTCTCTTATATAGCGATTGATGACATTCATCAGTGCGTAACTCCGCTCCCGAGAGCACCAGATTTTTCGAATTTAAAGATCGGTAAACTCTAAAAAATTTACTTATGACCAGGACGCATCAAGGGGAACACTGCGGCTAGCAGTAAAACTAGACAAACTCTATGAAAATAAGTTAGGAAGAGGGAGCATCTCTAAAGTATTAAGAGGGTTGAGAGGAAACTAATGGCAGCTTATCAAGTAGAAAGGTTGTGTGCCTGACTAGAAAAGAGCTTCACACTAATCAACAACTGGAACATCTTCCAAGCCGCCATTAAAGGAGAAAACATATTTAAGAAGAGAGCAAAGCCACACTAGTGTCTTACCTTCTTACAGCCCCAGGTTGACCGCGATTGCACTATGAAATGAGGCTATCAAACGACCGGCTGGAAAAAGAGCTACAAGCTACTACAAGCTAAAAATAGGTGGTCGACTGGCTAAAGATGATGTCAGATGGTTTTCTCTTGAATCAAAGAAGCCGAACTTCAGCCGCATGGTGGAACTATAAACCGTGTGCAGTATTTTGGTGTTGCATATCTGAAAGTTAGGTCCTAAAATACAAATGGCATCTGGGAAAGAGATTAGCGTGTAGTGTTGCTGTTGTAGCCGCTACCGTTCCCGAATCGGTTTTCGAGGAATATTGCGTGAGTGACAGCCCTTGGCAGCATCAAAATCCGGTATAAAGACTCCACTATCGTGGGAACAATTGGATTTTAGAGACCTCTTACGATGGGCATGCCTTACCACGTCTAATTCCTGTACCCTAAACCGCAGGGGGGATTAGCTTGTAGTTATCTCTCTCAGTGTATTTCATTACACCATTCAGGCATGTCTCATAAATGCTGGGAGAGTTTTCTTTCGCCACGTGCTGTGTCGAAACTCATTTGAGAAGCATCCCATTCTTTTACCGTAATTTTCCATTGAATCATGTTATGTCATTTTGCCGTTTGTAATATTGATGTAGAACTTAACCAAAAGGGGTGAATGTCTTAACCTTTTAACATCTAGCCCGGACATTAAAAAGATCCAATGGCAGCTTGGCTATCAGAGTATATACAAGATAGTCTCATATTCAAGTTGACTATGAGCAATAGGATGGCTTGTTCCTTAATTGAGAACATTTAAATTTATCCGTTCGTTCCTCTCAAGGATTCTCTTGCAATATAGATCATCTGAGCAGGGGTTGGAATTTATGTAGAGCAGTTTGTCTGGAAAATAAATAGCCGAACTCTATTTATTTATAGAACACCAATACTCCTGACTTGCGTTCAGTCTAACTGCCTTGCTCTCCCAAAGAGTACACATTCGTATTTTTTTTTTTTGGACATCAAGGGACGTATAGTAAATGGGTTTCAGGCGCAGGTAGAGAACGTTATGACGGCTCTTTTAGGATACAGAGCAATTTTTGCTGAGTTAGGAGGCGCATCCATTACCAGGTATGCCAATAGAGGCACCCAACAGATAGGAGTTCGCTCTCTCTTTTCCTGACGACATCGCCTTCACTGAAAATGGAAAACACCTCTAGGTCCTAAGCGATCTGCTCGAAAATGCTATCTACAGAGTAAGTAGTTGATCCAAACCGATACTTTCCACCAGAAAGCACAAGACTTCTGCTTTAAAGCCGCTCTCACCCAACGGCATAGATATCGTTCTATCTACTGATGTTAAATACCTAAAAATAAACAATGGAAAGGACTAAACCATTTATTGTATACTGGCGTTAATAAAACCACCATTGTCTTAGGGAGTCTAACCGTGCAATGGACAGCACTGGATAAGTTTTGTGGATAAGTTAAGTTAACGACCTCTACACAGGAGTGCTGTCTTTACCTCCTACGTAAGCCGTTGAGATTATATTTAATGCCCTCCCGGCAGACCTCTATGGAAACCTTCGGACGCGCTGCAACGCCATTCAACGATTGAAAAACCGCATGGAACACACAAAAATATTATACTATGCACTGTCCTCAGAAGAAGTGGACTAGACCACTACCGTTTTCTGCTTTAGCAATACTTTCTCGACAAAAGTGCCAGAGAGGAACGAATAGGAAAATGTAACAAATCTGGATCAAAGACTCGTAGCTAACCTCACCCAAAGCTCTAGACTTGTTGACGAAGTACCTTTTACTACCGACATAAGCAAGAGATTGCCCGAGCACTGCAGGTTCTTTCAAGGGAAAATCAACGTTGTATGCATTTCTGTCGTACGCGCTGTCATTAAGCATCTCCAGTGCAATCGTGCCACCTCAAGGGTGTTATTAATATACAAAGAAATTTTAAACAATCTTCGACCATGGTTGGGTCCCTAGTCAAAAGGGCATTTCTAGAAACTGTGAGGCCGACGAGCTGGCCATAAAATGAACAGTCATAACCACGGTAAACTCTGCACATGACGTGGTCATATCTCTTTCCTCGGAAAAGTAATTGTGAAGACTTGAATATGAGACTATCGGACTACTGCAGCGTCTACCGAGCAGAATTTACTGCATTCATGGAAGTTGCGGAATGGCTGATCAAATATGCGATCCCTAACTACTCTGCTTGCCAAGTTTTCATTTGATTTCCTCAATGCTCTGCGATTTCTTCAATGTCATTAGATCACTGCGATATTCGCGGTTGCCAACTCGCAAAGGACCATAAATCTTACGCAAAATCTTTCTCTCGAAACCCGCTAACATCGACTCATTTGTACCAGTGCTAGTACTCAACGACGGAGTCTCTCTTCCACTACAAATCCGATACCAAATTTTCGCTTCTCTCTATATGGCAGCTGTGGTAAATGTGACAAAGACCCACTCGCTTCCACGTCCATTGCACTACTTGAACGGCGGTGATATCAGCCTTTAGTTTAGCGAGGACAATTAAGGGACCGGATATTCCAGCTGCATGTTCGTTCACTTGCAGTGGTCGTTATCAAAAAAGGGGCTTCTCATCCAATGCATTGCATAACTTTCCATTGGAGCTGGTTTCTACGTGGGTTTGGGACCCACCCAGCGCACAACCACGCTAGGCGAGTAAGTTTAAATTGTTTGCACATTTATTTAGCGAGCCGCTTTCTTCAAAACCGACGCCCGCTCGCCGCCGCACATCTGGTGACTTCAACAAACCCTTAAACCCAATAAGCCAGAGTGGCTTCATCCAGCTTCCTCTCTTTTAGCCGTGACCCAAGACTCCACACGCATCTTAGTCAAGAGTTGCTCACGTTTTCAGGGTGCGCGGAATTGAGTATAGCCCCGGGACTGTTACTGCATATCCAGACGCTTGACTACACCCCATTACACCCTCGAGCCGAATTTGGTGAATTTCCTTGGATGGTTGCCATAGTACTAGAAGCCGTAATTGATGGTCAAACTGTCAAAGATTATAAATGTGCTGGCTCCATTTTAGCACCCAACGTCGTTTTGACTGCTGCACATTCTGTATATAATCTGGAAGCTCATCTTTTGTTGGCGCGTGCTGGTGAATGGGATATGCAGAGCGAAGATGAAGAGACACCACATCAAGATGCTCGCATCAAGGAGATCATTTACCATAAAAACTATGTTAAGGAAATGCTACACAATGATGTAGCGCTACTCATTCTGGAAACACCATATTTTTGGGGAAGAAATGTATGACCCATTTGCTTACCCGTAACTGGTGTTAATTTCGATCAATCAGGTTGTTTTGCCACCGCTTGGGGCAAGAAAAAGGTCGGTAAGGATGGAACTAAAATTTTAAAGAAAATCGAAATGCGTGTTGTATCACGACACTTATGTGAGGCGAATCTACGTGTAGCGCGACTATTTTAGATATTTCCGATTACATTCGAGTTTTATGTGCGTGGCTGGCGAAAGAGGCAAAGATATTTGCATGCTGGATGGCGGCTCACCGTTGGTATGCCCCGATCCAAGACGATCTGAACGTTACTCGCAAGTTGGCATTGCGTCCTGGGGTTTGGATTGTGAGAGGGAAAATGCGACTGGAGTATACGCTGATGTTAATCATGTCCGTTCATGGATTATTGAAACACTTGCCAGGCGTGAAATATATTTGTAAAATTTTTAATGCATAGAAAACGTTTTCTTTATATTTTTTATTTACATTGTCAGAAAATAAATTTCCAGCGGTAAATACCGCTCCATCCTTGAAACTACTACTGTATCTACTGGTGGAATCAGAGAATGAGGCAAAGCTCTACTCTATTGAAAGGTCAGCGGAATGAGGGATTTGATTTCACTTGGTGGATACAAAAAACGAACTGAGGAAACGACTGACGTGCTATTTTTTTCGTCTCAGGGTAAGGCGGCCGCGATAGCCGAGTGGTTTACATTGCATACTGTCATGCGGAAAGCCAGGGCTGGAATTTTGGTTCGACTAACATCCAAAAGTTATAGGAAATCAATTTAAATAAAAAATTAAGTCAAATTTTCGCACTACGATTGCCTCTCGGCTGGGAATGTCCAATCAAAGTTCCTCATGAAAATCCACCAGCTGTAGGTCCCTCCATTTGTTGGAAACACATCAAGACGCATCTCAAAAAATAGTGGGAGAAGCTCGGCCGAAAATCGCTTCGCTCCTTGCCCACCCCATTTATTAGAAGAAGAGGTGGCTATTTTACGAGCTGTATTTAAAATGTGAGTTCAATTTTAAAATTCTGTGGGCTGCATGTGATTCCCGGTGTCTTATAAGTTAGCACACTCTTCTCAGACACAACTTCATGCGTCAAAGAATTAGGATACAAGTTTGTGTAACAACTAGGATTAAGTTCAAAAAATTCTTCAAATATTGACAAAGATATTCGGTAACTGCAGGGTGGCGAGGGTGGATGGCTGCATATATACTGGGTTCCATACCACAGAGGCATTATAGGTAACGAAATCGCTTATGAGATTGCCAAAAATGCCAAGCGTCTCGCTAGCGAACCAGTACGGGCTATACAATATGTCGCTAAAAACGCTATACAATATAAGGTTGTCAAATATCTCCCTTCCGCTTTTTTGCTCTTCATTCAATGCTTTATAAAAAGTGTTACAGTGATCGGATTTAGTTAAAATATGCGCCGTTTTGTTCGATGATCTGTTTCCATCTAGACGGCAGCTTCATAATACCTTCCTCGTAGAAGCCCCCCTCCTTATTTGCGAAGAATTCGGACAGCCACTTTTCACAAGCCTCTTTTGAGTTCAATTTCACACCACCAAGGGCATTCGCCATGAACAGGAACAGGTGGTAATCACTTGGCGCTACGTCCGGGCTATATGGTGGATGCGATAAAACCTCCCATCCGAGCTCCCGTAGCTTCTGACGAGTCATCAACGAAGTGTGTGGTCTGGCGTTGTCCTGGTGGAACACTACACTCTTCCTGTTGGCCAATTCCGGACGCTTCTGGTCGATCGCCTGCTTCAAGCGGTCCAGTTGTTCGCAGTAGATGGTAGAATTAAGCGTCTGGCCATATGGTCTTCCGCCGGCTGGCTTATCCATGGTGTCGTTTTCACCGGCTCTGAATCGTCCTCTGTTGTTCGAAGTGATAGAGTACCATCCCCCAAAACACCATTAATCTCACGGATCGTTTCTCTAGCGGATTTGCCTTTAACGAAAGAAAACTTTAAAATAGCGCGAATTTCGGCGTTAGTGACCTCCATGTTTACACGTCTATAACTGTTGAACGCAATATCCACATAACTAATCATGCATAGCGTTGTTTTTTAGGTTATGTCAAGACCTTTCAAATTATGTATAGTGTTGTCAGATACGAGCTCTGTAACGCTTTGTGCATAGTTGCGAAATTCAAAAGACAAAAAAGCGGAGGGGAGATATTTGACAACCTAATATAATAAAATTACCAAAAAATACGTGGGTGTCGGAACGGCGTGAGATGGAACGCGACCGTGTGTAAGAACAGCAAGGAAATACCAATTTCTTTCACACACAATCACGTAAGAACTACTGGACAATAGTGGGCCACAACCTACTGGCATCCCATGCGAGCTGAAAGGACATTAGCACCAGTAAATATTGGCGGGGTGGAAGACATAAGTGATAATATCTGCTCTGTTTCTGTCCGCATGGCTTCAAAATTGGATAATAAGCTTATCTTGAACTTGAACGCTGACTACTTTAAATTGCAATAAAACGGACCTCCATCAGGTACTACAAAGGTTCAATGGGTCTGTAGTATGTAGTAAAGCACATAAGCCAATCAGTGCTAAAGTTACACCTTGTTTTAGCAAAAACAACTCTATAATCATGCCTCAGGGGTCGTATTTAATAGACTTGATTTCCAGGCAATGAAAATGGCCCGAATAGTCTATTTCATCTGAGGTGGATTGCCTAAGAATAAATATATAAAATGAAAATTATAGCATAAATAAATAGTTTCTGAGAAAAACACGAAGTCATTTGATATTCTGTGCATACATACCCTGTATATAAAAATGTTTGTATGTATGTATATACAAATATAAGTTAAATGATACGATTATAGGAAAATTATTTATTTAAAGTGAAAAATATTAAGTTTTTTTTGGTCGTTGTTTTATTTAAAAAAAAATCATAAGAATAATAAAATAAAATTGCAGTACTCGGATGAGAGCAACAGATTAGCATTATCAATACCGGGAAATGAATATTAATTGGAATACCTATTTTTGATTAATATATTAATTATGGCATTGCAATTTTCATTAAATTTCTTCTTAATTCAAAATGTTTGCCTTCCTTTTTATGGCGGTAACACCGATGCACCAACTTATTTACATTCGCGTATATGTGCATACAGTGTGTTCCAAAAATAACCGAACTTTATATTTAAATCATACAACATACAGCGCCATCTATTGAAAATTTGCAACATTAAAAAGCTACATTCATCCTCTTTCAACTGCACCTAACATCATGTAAGTCGGATGACAGATGTAAAAGTGACAGCCATTGCAATAAAACCAAAAGTATGCTAATGGTTCAAAAATAAAATGGAACAAAGATCAAATATAAAATTTTGTGTCAAACTTGAAAAAAAAATTAATGAATAAAGTTTATTGTGATGATTGTATGAGTCGCGTACGCAAGTTTATACGTGGTTTACACGATTTAAAAATGGTCGTGAGGATTTAAATGACGACCCTAAAGCAGGACGTCCAGAAACTAGTAATCGTGCTGAACTGGTGGAAAAAGTCCGTGAAATCATTGGTATCGATGCAAATTTTACTACGAGAATGTTGGCTGAAGAATTGAATAGGAGTAAAAATACTATTTGGAGAATTTTAACTGAAGATTTGGGTAAAAGAAAGGTCTGTGCGCGATTTGTTCCACATGAATTAAATGACGACCAAAAAATCGCTCGAATTTTTAATGAATTTTTAATGAAAAAAGTGATTTCTCTCATCGACCATCCTCCGTATTCGCCTGATCTATCACCATGTGACTATTTTTTTTTCCAAAACTGAAAACCAAGATGAAGGGAGCATTTTATGATGATATCCCAGCCATTCAAGCAGCCGTAACCGAGGTACTGAAGAACATTTCTATAAATGACATAAAAAAATCTATGCATGCGCTGGTTGATCGTTCCAAACGTTGTGTTGAGTCAAATGGAACCTATTTGGAATAAATAATAACTTTCAAAGATAATATAATGTGTATTTTATTTTATATCCAAAAAGTTCGGTTATTTTTGGGACACACCGTTATGTACTTACTACATATGTACGGGTATATATAATTGCTTTTGTAGATTTGCAATATTCTAAAATAAATTCTGTTCTCTTATTAAAATTTCCATTTTTTATTAACATTTTTTTAAGTATTTATATTTACCGAGTGTGCCTCGTTCCTATGGAAGCTTCACAATAAGTAATCAGTCAGAAAAATAAAAAATTAAAAATAAAAATTAAATAAAAATATAATATAATTGCTTATTAGCTAGGTATGCGATGCTCGCTCAGTGTTGATCTTTACAAGGGTAATATAATAAATCTCACCTCTTCAGGGTCGTTTGACTTTTTCCTGGAATATCAGTTCAAAAAAGTACAAAACAAAATAGAAGCGATTAGGTGTATTGAAAATTCCATTCTTTCGTTTTTTCTATCCTATTTGAAAGCTCTAATTGAGGTAGGATTAAAAAAATTGTCAAGACTTCAGCTTCAGTGAACCATTGCAAAGATCTTACACTATAAATACACTCAGCGACATTACTAAGGCCGCAATTGCTTCTGTCCATCAAAATTGATTTATTTGGTGTCAGGTAGATTGAAAGAAACAGTAATAGGTATCAGAAAATGCCAAAATATCATAGATTGAGCGAAAAGCAAAAAATTAAAATATGCACATATTCGGAGAGCAAGAGAGAGAGAGGTTTTTGACTTTGTCTCGTGTGACTAGGCCCAAGGAGGGGCGGAAATACTTCAGAAGACCTGCTGTTTTGAGTACCCAAGATTTCGCTAAATTGACTTGGCAGTGTACGACCCAACTTGATTCCCATCTGCATCAAAAATGAATGAAGAGCTTGATTGTGAGGGACTCATGGGTAAGTTGCTCGACCCGAAGAATATAGCTGAAAGACATGGGCCTAGAATCGTACCGACCTGCGAAAAAGAACCGCTACTGACGGCGAAAATACGACGTAGAAGACTGGTGAATGGTGCAAAAAGCATGAAAGTTGGACAGCTGTAGATTGGGAACAAAATTTCTTTTCAGGCAAATCAATTATTAACTTGATGGAAGCAGCCGATGGCACCAGAGTGGGGTGCAGAAAAGGTGAACGCTACAGCGGATAATGCATATTACAGACGGCGAAAGATTCTCGAATATCATGGTATGGTGAGCTGGAACAAAATACGGAGTTGGTTCTATTTCGGTACTAGAAAGAAGTAACGTAAAAAGTAATTGTCAAACATTTTGTTGTATCCACAATTGAGGACCTGTTACAGCACCACCAAAATGTAATTTTTCAGGACGATTCGGCACTTTGTCATTGGGTAGCTTCTTTAAGTCATGCACACTTTTTTTTATATAATTTTTTTTGATCTTCTAATAATTTAACTCCTTTTTTCTATATAGATAAAAGTGTTAAAAGATGAATTGGAAATAAGTTCGCTTGAAAGACCTGGGAACAGTCCTGATCTGGACCCTATTAAAAACGTTTGGTCAGTATTGAAGCGAAAAATTCGAGAAAAAGAACTGGAAACAGTCTTAGACCTGAGAAAAATCAACGATCATCATCCTGAAGTTTACATTTTAATTTTACCTTGTTTTGGAATAATTTCCCATATTTCCAGGAATACCTTGGTCAGGAAATTTTATCTAATGAGCACCATCGCCAGCTGTTTCGGTATCCTCAAAGAGATTTTCAGTTAACTATCAGAGTGCGAGCTACCTGGAACTCTACTCCTTTTCAGGGGCATATTGATGACACTTTCAAATCCATCGTTAGTGATTGCCTCTTCATCGCTTATCCGATTCATCATCAGATAACTGTTCCCAATATGTTACATCTGATTCCATACCGAAGCACTCTTCACCCGTCGTCTCAAAACCATAACACCAGGTGTTCCAAATATCTGTAGAAAAAATATATTTTAATAAGATTTGTATTATGTCTCCAAAATTGCTCTAGGGTAAAAAGCTTTGGCTATTAATACATTAAGCCAATCTTAACTGAGCTTACCTAGAAGTTTGATTCATCAGACCACAGAACATTCGACCAATCTAATTCCGGGAAATGTAGGTATCGGCGTGCCCATTCTAAACGATTTTTCCTATTCTTTTCTAAGAGCCACGGCTTCTTTCGGCCTTTACATCGTTTTAAACCTGTTTCCAAAAGTCTTCTTCTAGCCTGTCGAGCACTAACTGGCTTACTAAATTCATCCGAAAGGGCAGCTGCAAGGGCAGAAGAAGATTTTTTGCGATCCTTGAGAGACTCGCGTATAAGTATTCGGTTTTCTCGTTTACTGGTTAGACGCTTTCTTCTATTTTTTGATTTATTATTATGGGATTTCGTCTCCACAAATCGCCTGAAAGCACATTGGACCGCGCTCTGCGAACATCCCACCAAATTGGCAATCTCAACCTGAGACTTACCTTCTTCACTTAGAACTTGAATAATTGGCGCTTTGTAACCGCTGAAGCGATATTCCGCCGGGATCCTCCTCCAGTTTGTGGTTTGGCATCTTGAGGTTTTTCCAACAAACATTGTCTCATACTTAGTATAAATATGAGTGTTGAATTCAACGTCAACCAACCAAAATAAACGGAAGTGAAAAGTGAAACTTGGAAAAATCAAATATCGTGCTGTCCCTTACCAAGCAAGAAATCTCAGTTGCGACTATAATAAGTGAGTTGCCATCGGGGTCTTTTCCGGAAAAAACCATGACATACAAGTGACACAGTTTATTTAAACAAGGAAGGAAATTCCTCGTTTCCCGACTTCGCAAGATATTAAATCATAAAATTTCGGTGATCAACTGCGATCCCCTCTTCGAGAACGATGCTTTCCTTGCTTGTGTAATACGTAGCGCCGTCTTGTTAAAAATGCGAGTCGTCGAAATCAATGCTATCCAATTCCTGCCATACAAAATCATTAACCCATTCACCGTAACTGTCGCACCAGCATAATTTTCGAAAAATCAAGATTTAATAACTCCGCCGGCCCATGGACTGCACTAAAAAGTTACACGTCGAGGATTGAGGTTGAGGATTCAGCAATAAATCTTGTGTTTTCCGCACCCCAGATGCGACAGTTTTGCTTATGGACGTAGCTACTAAGGTGGAAACGAGCCTCCCAGTCAGGACGATTTTTCGACTAAAATCCGGATCATTTTTATGCATTTCAAGGATACAATCAGCAAAGAGACGACATTGTTGATGATCGGCCGATGTCTTTATGCTAATTTCTTTATGCTAAATACCCGACCGGGTTTTCTTAAAAAACTTTGATCTACAGCAGCAATATTCTCAATTCTTGTTGAGCGAGGAGCACGCGTTTTATCTTCACAATCCTAACTTTCGCCAACAGCTTCAATTTTTTTTTTACCAAATTATGTATTGCTGTCCGTCAAGGTGCTCACACCGGCCGAAAAACATTTTAATTTCACGAACGTCTCTGAAACGTTTCCACCGTACTAACTCCGCTTATTGGAAACCCCTTTACTTATGCCAATATAAAAATAGAAAATTGTTTAATTTCTTTGTAGTTTTTATTTTAATTTAAGATTATTTTTAATAATTAAAAAAAATTATCAATAAATGCCATAATTGTGTGCTTGTAGGTGAATCTGCAACCATTTGCATTAAGAAATGGTCGTTGATAAGCAAACAGCCAGTAAAAAGAACTTGAACTGACAGTCTTTGCTGGACCAGATTACGCGACGACAAGTAATTCTTTTAATTATCAAAAAATTGTATATATGTACATACCCGAGTGTGCATACCTACCCTGTTGGAAACAGTACTAATTGTTAATTAAAATTACACTGATTAGCATTCTTGTTCCAGCCAGTAGATTTTCCATATATTTTCCAAATGAACAACTGGTATTTTCAATACGACGATGTCTTACGAACTGTCAATTGGCATTGGTATATATTAACCCATCAGCTTAATCTAGTTGTATACTAGTTCATTTAGGTATGCTAAACTTCTACTTCACGAAAAATTGAAAAAAAAAGTGTCTGCAGCACAACTGCGAATTTTGAACTTCTCGCGCTTCAACGAACGGCTATAAGTTCGATGTAGTGGTGCCCGTTATTTTGTACATTTCTAAAGAGCATAGCTGAGAATGGAATCGAATTCCGAAGCAAATGTAGATGGAATAGCAACACATGGTAGTGGAAATTATTATTACTCAAGTTACAAGTGAACTGCTCTTCAAATCACCAACTGGTTTGGTTTGATGCTCAAAATACTAGTTTTCAACTATAATTTCTGCATACTAGTCTATCCTCTCCTTGATGGGTACATACATATCTGCATTTACGTATATTGCAGATAAGCAATTATAAAAAGAATGTTTTTTAAAAATTTTGCATTTCTGTTTTTTCTTTGATGCCAACTTCAAAAGTCGCTTTGTCTTCAGTTTATAAATTGTGAGTGAGTTAACCGTGCAGTATTTTGTGCATTTTAAATGAAAGCATTATTTAAAAAATTACAATCTGAAGTGAGTTTCTAACTGAGTCCCGAAGGACTTAATTGAAGCAGCTTACTAGAGTTCGATTTTAACTGATTATAAAGTAAAGTGGATATTTGGGCGGGTAGAACTGGTCGTGCCGTAAATTCTAGAAATTTCAATATTTGCCAGGAGAGATACGGTCCCGATAGTGGTTTGTCCGAGAAAGTGTAATACTTGTTGACAATTCTAAACAGGAAACTCTCATCGGTAGCTTTATACTTTTACAGAGCCGCAATCAAAAAAAGTTGACACAAATAGTGTATTGGAGATAAACAACCATAGTTAAGCCCCTCTTGTTTTACGAAGTTTTCGTTTGGTGGTTGTCGATAGAAAGACTTATTTCAGCCGCCTCTCAACACACCTGTGCTGCATTATAAACTACACCAACCGTTCTTAACGCCATGTGTGTGTACAGTGTCTGTGAATATTGCACGTAAGTTAATTATTGCAAAAGTCACTGGAAGACTCAATGGGTCTGAATCTTTTAACGGTTCGAACGTTGGGCAGTCTGCTGTCCATGAGAGGCTCATAAATTGGATATAATCATCCAAGTTGGCGTCGAGCGACTGGCTCTCCACCATAAATGCTTCACGCGTGGGCTGGCGAAGGCAGAAGACGACCACACAATTAGAACCATAAATTTTGATGCAGACATGCTTACTACTATATATAGACATCCCCACTACTACTAGTCACTTACTCTGCTCGGAAAGTAGAAGGAAGCTTTCAACTCGGGAAGGTTTCCTCATCCCAATCACATAGTACGTTTATGCCAAGTTCTGTGAAACTTACTGTGCGCTGCCACTTTTTACACCGTTAAGATATTGCACTTAATTATTAGGTATTTTTAGTTTGTTAGCTGTTAGCATACACTACTTGTACTTTGGGGAATAATTTTGCGGTTACAACAACAACTACTACTACTACTACTTGTATATTGATTTGACTGATTTCGAATTCAAAGTTCAAAAGTTTCCAAAAGTTTCCAAAAGTATCGCCAACCATACTAGTGTTCCATATCTTAGTAATGATCTTGCGACACTCATATAAAGCCAAAAACCGAAGTGGTGCTATTCACCAGGAGATACAAACTGCTTCCTTTTATGTCATCTCTAATGAAGTGGTTGAAGATCACCCTCACTACCAAAGTCAAAGATTTCGACATAATCTTAGATAGCAAACTCAACCCAAATATCTCTCGCAGAAGCGCCGAAAGAGCTACAACACATCTCCTCATTCACGTTCAAATTCAACACAGTCGTTATCTGGGTGCTCCGATACAAGTACAACCTCGACAATTACCCAGAGCTTTAAACGAACAATAAACAAAGCCCACAATGCAGTTGTACCTTTGTTTATGGCAAAGTATTGGAAGAGTGCATAAGTTCGTGCCCGATTCCGCTGGAAGCCGTTCGAATAGTTTGAGAGTGGCGCTCGTGAAAGAAATATATACATATTATATATCGTTGGATAGGTGACAGTCCGAACTGTAAACCAAGCATAAAATAACTTCATTTTGATTTGAGTTGCTTAGTGAAAAGACGCATGGAAGATGGACAACGAAAAAGATCATATGCGTCATATTATGTTATACGAATTCCGCAAAGGAAAAACAGTAGGCGCTGAAACTAAAGATATTCGCGAAGTTTATTTGGACCGTCCTCCAGCACTCTGCACAGTAAAGAAATGGTTCGCGAAATTTCGTTCTGGAGATTTTAACCTCGCATTGGACGGCCTTCTGAGCTCGATGACGATGTTCTAAGGACTTTATTTGCGAATAACTCACGTATTTCGACGGAAGAGGTTGCCAGTGAATTGAACGTCAACAAATCAACTGCGTTTCGTCGTTTAAAAAAGGTTGGGTACACTTTGAAGCTCGATACATGGGTGCCACATCAGTTGAGTGAAAAAAACAAAGTGGACCGTATGTCAACAGCAATTTCTTTGCTTCGACGGATCAAAAACGAACCTTTTTTGGATCGGCTCGTGACTGGTGATGAAAAATGGATCCTGTACAACAATGTTCAACGCAAAAGAACATGGAAACAGGCACACGAAGGGGCGGAACCGATGTCGAAAGGTGGATTGCATCCGATGAAGGTACTGCTGTGCATTTGGTGGGATATCCGAGGCGTGATCTATTTTGAGCTCTTGCCAGCTGGAGAAACGATCACTGCCAACAAGTATTGTCAGCAATTGGTCGAATTGAAGAAAGCAATTGATGAAAAACGTCCGATTTTGGCCAATCGCAAAGGAGTTCTTTTCCATCATGACAACGCCAGGCCACATGTTGCAAAACCGACCCTGGCCAAACTGAAGGAGATGAATTGGGAAATCATGCCGCATCCCCCATATTCACCCGACATTGCACCTTCTGATTATCATTTGTTTCGATCGCTGCAGAACAATTTGAATGGAAAAAAATTTAAAAATGTGGAAGACGTCAAAAACCACCTTGACACCTTTTTCAACGAGAAACCGCGCGATTTCTATGAATCAGGCATCCGTAAATTGGTTGAACGTTGGGAGTGGATTGCCGAACATGATGGCGAATACATAATTGATTAATAAAAGCGCTTTCTTCAAAAAATTTCATTTTTAGTTTGCACTTGAAATCGGGCACGAACTTATGCACTCATCCAATATATGCCATTTCCGAAAAAACAACCCCCAGATAGCTGAATGAGATCATGTGCAACTTGACCAGACAATTATGAAGATAAATGGTTTATGTGAAAAATTCAAGGCATCCTATCCCGCTAGGCCTGCTTTTTATTAGCATAACGATGGGTGTAATAAAGGGTCCTTATTTCATGGGGTTACACTGCGAAAAAATGGCATATCACTCCAACAAATTTTGCCGCAGCTGCAGGGACGAATAACAGGAAGAATCTATTGAACACTACCTCCGTCACTGTCCGGCCTTGACATCTGCAAGTTCCTCAGAAACCATTTTTTTACTGTCCTGCTGAGATTCAGCGGAATTTGTTAAAATCGTTGATTTTCAGGTTAAGATAGTAGCCTCAAAGCGCTTCACAACTGGCCCATTGGCTTTAATGTTTTCATGTTCTCATGGTTCCATTAAAGAAAAGGAGCCCAACTTGAGGCGAAATCACTGCATTTATTGGATATTTATACAATCTTTAACTATGCTTTCAGAGATTTCACAATAAAGGACTACCAAAATGCCGTTTTACATTTTATGCCTATTATCTCTCTGGACCAGTTTAACTCAAACGCAATCAACGCCAAACTTACAAGATTATTGGAGCAAAATCTTCTCAACAACAACAAGACCGTTGCAATCACAACCCGATCGTGGAAGTCTGAAAGTTTGTGGTTTAAATAAGGAATGTGTACAACGCTTTTTATGTGAGCAAAATGGCGAGGTCAATAGATATGGGAAGGCTTTAATCAATATACGCTTTGGAGCTGACATTGCCGAAGAAGATTCTTGTACATATTTGGAGACCTGCTGTGATGTAAACGTAAAGGTAGTAGAAATTTCTTTTATTCGATATCGCATTAGTATTAATTACAATGCTCTTCTTACAGTTAACGGTACCGAACGTGCGCATCAAGCCCGTAAAAGAAGGTTGTGGCTATCGTAATTTGAACGGTATCGGTTTCCAAATTACCGGCGGAGTTGAAGGTGAATCGGAATTCGGTGAATTTCCTTGGATGGTCGCCATTTTCCGAGAGGAAATGATTGGTGGAGTACTTATGAACGTTTATGAATGTGGTGGCTCTGTGCTCGCACCCAATGTCGTCTTGACTACCGCACATTGTGTGATTAAAGCGCAGATACTTGTGTATAGGTTAATAGCACGTGCAGGTGAATGGGACATGCAGAGTACACAGGAAGTGTTGCCACATCAAGATGCACTCGTCAAGGAGGTTATTATACATGAGCAATACGATAGTTCTGTACTCTTCAATGATGTCGCGCTGTTGATATTGGAGACACCATTCAAATGGGAAGCAAATGTACGTCCCATCTGTTTGCCTGATGCTGATGTAAATTTCGATTATTCACGTTGCTTTGCCACCGGTTGGGGTAGGGACAAATTTGGCATTAATGGCACTCATCAGTTGATTTTGAAGAAGATGGAATTACCCGTTATACCATCGGACACTTGCCAAGCTAATCTGCGTAGCACACGTTTGGGTAGACATTTCCGATTGCATTCGAGTTTTATGTGCGCTGGCGGGGAAAAGGATAAAGACGCGTGCACAGGTGATGGCGGTTCTCCACTGGTTTGTCCAGATCCTCGAAATAGCGAACGCTACTATCAAGCGGGCATTGTGGCGTGGGGTATTGGTTGTGGCACAGAAAATGTTCCAGGAGTCTATGCCAATGTGGCATATTTGCGCAATTGGATTAATGATCAACTTAATGCTCGATTAATCGATTTCAGACATTTTACAGCGCAACTTTTTTAGTCCAAGTTTTGTGATTTCAAAATTACGTTGAATAAAAGTTCACTAACGAGTATATGGTATTTTGTATTGCATTATAACACTAACAAATTGTATTACACATACGATTATATTCGAGTCAACCGAATCATGCCAATCGTGTTGTTTTTTTTTTTGTCGCTCGGTCCCATCAAGGAGACATCACATAGAGCCAGATTATCTCCCACTTGATCATACCAATGAAATGCAGGTTCTCACCTTCCTTTGCTCTCTCTCTCTCTCTCTCTTTCCTCACAAAACTGGCACGTTTTTAACCCTTATCTACCACATAAAAGTTATGACTGTCATCATGCGATTGCGATGGCTGTTTTTTTAATTGCCGGAGATACATATCTTGTCATGCCAACGTCAACAAATGTCTAAGTTTCGCGGTGATACCGATGTCCGACACAGCGATGTTATTGTTGTTGTTGTAGCGGCTTACCAACCCTACCTAGGAGGTCATCCAAGGTACAGAGCTGTTCAGACAGGATCGGACCAAAGAAAGAGGAGAGTTGGTTGTGTTGGTTTTAGGGGGCATATAAAGAGGTAGGTAACGCCCTGCGAGATCTGTTTGCATACAGGACGCACGTTAGGTTTGTCGGTATATGTAAGTATCTACGGTGTTTAGACATAAGTTGCGCCAGTATTGCGTGGGGCAGCCAATTCTAGAAACCGTAGCTGACTTGGATTTTATCCCCGGATTCTATTCGACCATGAGCTGTCACCCTTTCGGCGACCTTATCCCGTTTAGGTCAACAGGTGACACAGCGCCGTAGAGGTGGGTCTTTTCCCGGATTTAATGCGTGGTGTATTGTATACATTGTATGTATTTGGTACATGGTGGATCGAACAGGTCTGATGCCGCATTAATAAGATATGATCGATTCATTTAAAATAGGCTTTAGACTTTTACATGTTGCGCTAGATAAGACCTTGCGCTATTGAGAATACTCATTCATTGATTGAAGGTTCGGATCCGTAATTCCTTCAACACTGCAATTAAGCAGGCTGGAGAAGTTTTGAAGCTCTGAACAGCGGTCATAAGATTGCCCACTTGAGTATACTGCGGTATTGAAATCACTTTAAGTTTACGCTTTTTTTTTACACAAGTTTCGACCTGTACTCCTGTCGAACATATTTTCAACCTCTGCCCTTTCAGGCATTTCGGTATTTTCCCCTCCTCGGTTTTCTATCCGCTGTGAAATTCTTCATCGTACCAACTTGAAAACCAAATGTTTCTGTAGTACCGATCCACATTTCATTTACATCGCGTTTCTAATGAGTACTCTCAAAGCAGTTGTGCAAGTCAGTAGAATACCATTCAGCTCTTTGTTGTGCTTCCGCTTTTCTACGTCGAACCTATCGTATGTATGATGACGCGAATTCTTTGCTACACATGGGCTGATATCTTTGCTGCGACAAGGTCCTCGACACTTACGTACATCTTAAACACGGGAGACATATCTACCGTCAATCGCAACATGATCGAGCGGTAGGCGCTCATAAAAGGCAACCTTGGTTACATCGTCTTTCTCTTCTGTTGGAGGGTGGGCAGACTGTGGAGAGACGTTCAACCACCGGGTTGAATGTCAGGTCTCGACGACAGAGTCTTTCTTCCACCACGAATCCGACACTAAATTTGCGTTTCTGCTGTGTAAAAATTGTGACAAGGACCAGCCCTTTGCCAACCTTGCTTCACCCATCGGTTCTTCTGAATGGCAATGATATCAAACTACACCCAGCTGGGCAGTGGCATTATCACCAATTAAAGGATCGTCCTAAGTCATTGTCCTAAGTCATTTTGACATTGTCGCAATCCATAAGCAGATTTCTCATCCCAGGCGATTGCCAATACTGATTGGAAAGCGGACGCTGCGTACAGACTTCTGTGAAGAGTTAAATCGATAATGTCGGAGTAGCTTCATTGAAGTTTCCTTCTTATTTACCAGCGTTGCTTTGAAATTCGTCTGCAGGTTTCTCTCGCGAATACTATTTGCCCAATTCTAAATATTCTCGCGGAAAGCGGAGAGCATCCCTGAAATGGAACCTGTTACTATTACAGCTACATCCGCACAATGTACTGAGATTCCGCGTCCAAAACCCCTGCGGGTTAGGGGCTCAAGAATTTACCCGCAGTAAGGCATGCCTGTCGTAAGAGGCGAGTAAAATCCAATAGTTCCCGCGACAGTCGGGTTTTTATACCGGAACGACACGGATTTTTATCCGGCCAAGGACTGTCACTCCCGCAACATTCCCCAAAAAGTATATTGGGGAATATTTTTGCGGTTACAACCACAAAAACAACAACATTCCGCGTCCAATTAGGTTAAATATCTGCAATTCACTCAACCAATAAATTAAAAATCGTTTGTTATTATTTATGTTGGCGAAAAATCATGTAAAATTCATTGTTAGTATTTTTAAAAAGTTCTTAAAAATATCACATAAAAATTAATTTTTCATTTCCATAACAAATTGCAATAAATTAAATAAATAACTTAAATTACAATCTGAGTTAAAAAATAAATTATTGAATTAATGTGAAAAAATAAAAAATTACGGTATTTGAAGGTCTAGAAATAAAAATTATTTATATTAATTCATAAAAATAAATAAATAAATATCACAAAATTTCAATTAATTTTATTAAGTAAACTACGAGGCCTTGTTGTTTGTATGAGTTCAATATTTGTTATACAACAAACAAAAAATGGTAGAAGTGACAGCTGTTTCGGAGATCACCACATCTCCTCATCGGACTTCTTATGGCAGGGATCGAACCAACGGATCCTGACTTAACAGGCGAGTGCTCTACAACTGCGCCAACATCAGCCATATAATCTGTTGTTGTATTAATTTCGCCAAAAGTTATCTTTGGTTTCTAAATCCTCTATTTCCAACAGTATTTTTGTCTTTCCAATTTTATCTTTGACTTCTTTCACTGTGATTTCTTCAATAAAACGGTTATGCCTTTCAATCTCATTTAACATTTCTTTTTCATTGCTTCAAGTTCTTTATAATTTTTTTTATTGCACTTTCTTTACTCTTTTTCGTATTTGAATTTCTTTAAATTCATATTTTGATCTTGTTGATTATCCACAGACATTTTAATGGACGTACTCACGTCGTTCGGTATTTATATGCCTTCCTCCAGGGAAGCTAAAGCAGGTTTGTTTTGCTGCGGTAGTCTGTGCTAGAAACTTGTGTTTTTTTTTGTCGCCACTGTTGTATGAAACAAAAACGACTCATTACATGTCGGTTGAGGTTTATGCGGTAAATGTACGACATTACTGCTGGTTGGCAATTCTGCATTCAAATCTGCATTCTCTTAAATGGAGAATAATTCTAAATCTGAGCAAATATGAATCTCGTTTGTTAAGGTCAGCCATCCTCCCGAAAATTCTATTTCCCGAATGCATTTTTCCCGAATGTCAATTTTACCGAAAGCCTTTTTCCGGAAAATAAAAATTTGATTTGAATTTGAATTTTTACCAATGTAAAAATAATGGACTAATGTTACCATAGCATCTAGACAAATTGTTTATTACAAATGTCACATCTGGTATCATTTTTCAAAATTAATTATTATATTTACATATAATTTTTAATAATGGAAGAAGAGGTAGCACGTAGTTTAGGAACAAAATTAGTATATCGTGGACTCCTGTATCAGCGTTTCAAAACTGCGAAAGATAAAACATACTGGGATAGCATTAGGTTGCAAAAAAAAATGTGTGTTGCCCTTATAGTGAGTACTGATGCGCCTGGTGAAAATATTATAATTTTAAAAGGAGGTGATGAATCCAATCATAAACATCCACCAAATCGTGACGAATGTGAGGCAGAAGTTGTATAGGCGAATTTAAAAAGAAAAGCTGAGGATAACCCTGAGCAGCCGCCTGCGCAAATTTTGCGTCTAGAATTGCCTCAGGTGTCGGAGCTCTTTCACAATTACCTGAGAGAGAAAATTAAAAAAAAAAACCATGAGACGCCAAAGGCAAAAAAACATACCTCCCAACCCAACATCTCTATTAAACCTTGAAGAAAATCCTGAGCGATTTCGAAGTTTTCAATAGCGGAGTTAAGTTTAGGAAAATCCGTCAAAGCAGCACCAAAGAGAAAGTGGATTACAATCCAAAAACGTCTTCAAGGAAGAAAGAAGAAATCAAGATATCCAAATTAATTTACGTGTGCACTACATCGTTTTTTAATTTTTTTTTTTTTCATTCTACAAATTCATTTTAAATATATATTTCACATCCAATAAACAGATTTTACACATTATATATATATATATACATATTTATACAAATATGCATCTTTATACAAATAAAAATTATTTATTATTTTTCGGGTACATAGATGTTTGGGAAAAAGGTATTCGGGAAAAAGGCATTCGGGAAATTGGGTTTTCGGTAGAATGGCTTTCGGGAAATTGGATTCGGGAAAATGACCGGTAGCCGTTAAGGTCTCCTGCTTCTGCAACCCAAATTTCCTCGCACCGACATTTTCATCCCAATGATGTTATATATTGCTTCTCTGGGAGGGGACAATTTACGTTCTCCATTAGGGCCACCTCCTCTTACTTTTCTGGCCTTCAAGTTTTGAGCCGCTTTTTGCCGCACGTATTTATCAGATCACACCTAGAAGTGAAATGCTTATTTAAATAACCGCCTTTTACTGGAAAATAAATTTTACCTTCTTCCATTCCACAATATTTTTAATAGGGGGTTCTGCGGAATTCATCTTTTTTCAAAATTCGTTTAGGTCATCCTTAATTTTCTTAAAAAATTCCTCGGTCTATAGGCAGTTGAGATTCCATCAAGTCTATTATTATATTTTTTATATTTATTAGATACTTACAGTTTTTATAAAAAAAACTCGCACACAACTCTTTTATGAAAAAGACTCTCGCGGAATAATGAAATAATCCGATTTTTTTTTTGCATTACCAACTTTTTTCACTGCGAATTTTTCCGAATAATAGGAATAGATAAAAAATTCGCAAACATTTTTTTATTTATAAGAGAAGAA